AATTAAATTAAATTAAATTAAATTAAATTAAATTAAATTAAATTAAAGGTTTTTAGGAAGTGTCCCACCATTTTAGGGCCAGATTTAATTCGGTTTGTGGCCTGACTGAGTCCTGGAGAGTCCAGCTTCCTTTATCGGTTAACAATAATGGAGATTGCGTTTGTTTGTGTTTGTTTGTGTTTGTTTGTGTGTGTTTGTGTGTGTTTGTGTGTGTTTCCAGCTCCATCTGATCCACTGGAACAGCACCCTGTTCAACAGCTTGGAGGACGCTTTAGGGATGAAGAACGGAGTCCTCATCATCGCTCTTTTCGTGCAGGTAAACATCCACATTTCCCCTTTTTGAATCGGACTTTTTGCACTAATGTTCCTGTAAAAAAATGAGAAAAAAGGCAAATTTTCAACACTTTTTAAAGATGTTAATTTTCAGCTGTTACTAAATTAACTGTAAACAAATTACTGAAATAACAGAATAACAGAATAATTACATACCTGCCTATTTAAAAAAAACACAGATGTTTTATTGGTTTGCCTTTCTATCTTTCTGGGACTGCATTTGGTTCCAGATCAGCAAACCAAACGGACATTTTTTATCTTTCTTTTTCCCCTTTGCAGTAATTTGGTACTTAAAGAACTCAGCCTCTCTTCTGAGAAAACTTTTACAGAGTCTCTGATTCATGTCAGAAGAATAAAAACTCAAAAAATGAGCTGGTCCCAGAGCTTCCAGCTGAGGAAAACACACCCAATAGAACAACACAGCCTTTATTTTATTCATTCTGAGCCTTAATTCCTGAATTCCAGAGTTTCAGGCTCACATTCGGCCAGTTTTCAGCCCTTTCTGGTGTTTCTACACTTCCTGTTTTCAGTCTGGACGATAACAGACGATACAAATATAAAAAAGAAAAATGCTGATAAGCTGGAATGAAACCTTAAATAGTTTTCCTTTTCTCCAGATTGGGAAGGAGCACCTGGGTCTGAAGGCCATCACCGAGGTCCTGCAGGACCTGCAGTACAAGGTGGGGCCAAACTGGGACCAAACTGGGGCCAGACTGGGGCCAGACTGGGGCCAAACTGGGCCCAAACTGGGGACAGACTGGGGCCAAACTGGGACAAAAATGGGAGCAAACTGGGGCCAAACTGGGGCCAGACTGGGGCCAAACTGGGGCCAAACTGGGACCAGACTGGGGCCAGACTGGGACCAGACTGGGAGCAAACTGGGACCAAACTGGGGCCAGACTGGGACCAAACTGGGAACAAACTGGGACCAAACTGGGGCCAAACTGGGAACAAACTGGGGCCAAACTGGGGCCAGACTGGGACCAGACTGGGGCCAGACTGGGACCAGACTGGGGCCAGACTGGGACCAGACTGGGGCCAGACTGGG